ATGGGTCTTTGTATAGCTTATTTAAGTTCTTGGTATAACGACCTTGCAGTACACAATCTCTTTTTTCTCACCTTGCAACAATTTTATTGAAAGTCAAACTTTCAAGTCACAAGCCGACGGAACGCTAAATAAAAATGACCATAATAAAAAACGTCGGAAAAATACCAAGTCACGAACTCTGGATTTAAACGTATTGTTATTAATAAAGTCTGCTACTTTTTTTCGTGAAATGAGAAATCAGCCGGTCAACACACAGACAGTAACGAGCCAGTTTATCGATAGCCACGCCTTGTACGTCTTTCCGTTAAAATGTCCGTAAACATCCCCTAAGTTTCTATAGGATTAAGCATAAACGAGTAGTTTAGGTTTGTTGATTTATTCACAGAAGCCAATTAAAAGAAAGTTAAAACCCTAAGTGTAAAATCAGTCTACATCACTATACTCTTTTTTTTGATGATTTGATGTTCCACTAGTTAGACTACTATATGTGATGTACACCATACAAATTGTCACTAAAAAAAGAGCTAGTTTGATTGTCTTTTGAAGTTCTGATGCGTGCATCTTTTCCTGTCTATCATCGCCGCCTTCCCATGTTCCATCGGGCTTCAAGCGCTCATCAGAATCATCTTTCATGGAATTAATAGTTTCTGATTCCTTGAATTTCTCTTTCGAATTCTGGAAAGCATCGAATATACGCTGTGCATTTATCCCTGAAATAGATAAAGGGTGTGGTCTTATAAAAGGATCCCATATATGTCAGAAAAGAGTAATTTGCATGTGATGCACAACAATTCTCTTAGAGCCATCACGCCTGAAGCAAAAAAGCAGTGTTTAAAATCTACTGTCAATTGACAACGTACGYATTTTTCTAAACAAAAATTCAAAGAATTGACGGCCTAATAAGCGTTGATTCATAGTAAATATTTGTCTTTTACAATATCAATGTCGAACAAAATTGTTTAGAAGTCATATGTAAACTTTCCCTAAGTTTTCTTGAGATTTATGCAAAGTTTAAAGAAAAACAAACAAAAAAAGTCAAGAACAGTAAAATTACATGTTGTCCACGTTGTTTTTTTTAAATAATAAGTCGTTCTTTCCATGAATTCATATTTATAGTGAAAAATATTTTTATATTATTAATCTAACAGCGCACTTTGATGAAATTCGCAGTAGCTCTCATTTGTCTCTCAAATCACGTGCAACACTTCTCGACTTTTTTAACGCATTTGTTTCTTCAATGTAAAACTGGCAAATTTCATTTGTTCCTAGCCGTCTTATGAGAAATGTTCAATTTCTATGATTTGCGGAATCGTCGAAACCTTRYGTAGTTTATCGATCACGTGACCTCATTAAGCAAGTCGTTAATTGGATTATGGAGGATAGTCTGCACTAGCTCCGCCCCAAACCCCTTCGAGAGAGCCTGATACTCAGGCTAAGGCTGCACAAAATATTGTACTTTAACAGTGCCTGCTATAGAGGACAAAACCCAGTGGAAAGTAAACCTTTAATAGTACCTTTATTTGTGTTATTTTTATCGACTCCATTCACTGTGCCGCTAACATCATCTTCTAATTCAGCAAAGGCTTGTATCAATTCCTTCTGTTTGGACGTTAAATATCTGCACACGCACAAAAAAAAAGAAATTAACTTCAACTTTTAAAATGCAGAGGGTTACAAGTACAATGTATACTAGTAAAAGTATAAAGAATTACTTATTTTTTTAATTCTTAGTACATACTAAACGTTTTGTTTTAAAATGTAGATAKAAAATGAGATGTGAGTGGCGAACAAAGTAGATTAATAGAGTTGACTGCCACAATGAAATTGTATGCTAGGATAATGAAGATATACTGTTTGTAGATAAAAAGAGGAATCAGACAGATAATATATATAAATCATGAAGTGTATTTTATTAGACACGTTCTCGGGTTTGCAATTTTAGCAACATTTTCATATTACTGCAGTTTTCCGTTTTCTGAGAATCCAAGACGCTAACCGTTACATGTACTACACGGTAAGTCTTTGGAGTTTTTTCTTTGGGCAAAAACACCAAATGACGCTTAACGTCAATGTGCTGGAGTTTGGAGAAAACCGTCACAAATTGAAAACTTACTTTGGTATATGAATTTTAAAACTAACAAAATGGTCTCCTTTTCCTAAGCCATCCACTCTAGGTATACCACGCCCACTAAGCCTCATTCGTTGGTGTGACTGCGTGCCTTGTGGAATCTGAAAAATACAGAGGTAAATTTAGTATTTAGAGTTGGTTTGGTAAACAGTTAAAAATGACTAAAACTGAGGAAGTACAATATAATCAATGGATRTACAATAAAAAGACTGAATGATTTCATGAAGTGAATGGATAAATAAATGAGCAAGAGTTAATAGAAAAATATGGTTAAACACCAGACGTTACACTGGCTAGAATATAATCAATGATATATCACGCACTYGATCACTATTTGAACCATTCTCGAAAGCTGTTATGTATGGTTGACTGTATATATCATACATGATGCAGAAATGCAGRATACGCACCTTTAATTCAATATCACCTTGTATCCCAGGTATCTTTATTTTGCCACCAAGGACAGCCTATYCAACAAAACATACTTAATCATTTATTTTCAGATATTTTATTTGAATMGCAACCAACCACAATACAGCCCGCGCTCGTRTTATTGTTTATGTACGTTATTATAGATTGATAGTATCTGTGAGGTAYTTAGTTAAAGGTATTTCTGTCTGTCAAACTGAAAGGATGGAAGACGATTCGCGCWCACTTGAAGAAATCCTACGGATCAGCAATGGTTGGTTATCTTTATAATACCTGTGTAAAACTTATAGTAGCAGTCGTGAACACATCAGACCCTTGACGTTCAAATATTTTACTTTGAGATACCTGAAATATCAGAAATATCAAAAAAAAAAATATCAGGAATGTTAACCAGGGAAGAAAGAGGAAGGAAAAAATAAGCAATATCAAAACTGAGAAAGGGATGATGGAAGATACTGAAAYGATTTAGAGATAGACAAACATGTAAGTATTCAGTATGAGGTGATGCAGTTACCGTGTACTTACCCTTAATGTAATAAACACTTCACCTGTTCCCATTGGTAGTCTGATAGTTTGTCCATCGTCAACACCTATTCAAAAAGTCATTTACATGTAATTAGGGAGGTTTTCTTTACATGTAACAAAATTGCCTAAGTTACCTGCAGGAACAGGGACTGTGATTCTTCTAGTTTCAGAAACCTTTCCTTTCCCACGACACTTTCTGCATGGAGTACTAATAATATATCCTTGACCTCCACATCGACGACATGTTGACCTCATGTGAAAAAAACCTGTATTGACTGTTTCCTGAAATAAAACGGTTCATTACAGTTCTTGTTGAAAGCGCTGAAAGCTCTTTTGAACTCTCATTAAGCAACATCTATTTTACTAAAAATCAAAAAGATTTTTCAAATGAGCTGAGTGATAAGCAATTTTAATCCACCTCATTTCTCTTTCATTTTATTCTGCTTTTTAGGGTCTGTGTTTATTTCCTATGTGAACCAATCTGAACATTCAATGAGCTAAAAACTGTAACATCCTAATAGGACAATTTCAGAATTTTGCAACCCACCTGTCCTGTTCCATTACATGAGTGACATTTTGAATGTGTTGTTCCTGGTTCAGCCTTTTTTCCATTACACCGATCACAGATCACCCTTGTATTGATAGACATATCTTTATTGCAACCTTTTGCTGCTTCCATGAATGACAGATTCATTGAGTACTAAAAAACAAACAAAAAAGACTGTTTACTCTTTGAAAAATTCATTTTGTTATTGGCGTTCTGCAGTGTGGGTTACAGTAAAACTGCACTCATTTCTGACCTAAAAATAAAGTATGAAATGCATGTACCTGCTGTGCTTGCTGGAGGTCTTCAAAATCCATACCAGCAGTTCTGAAGCCACTAAATGGTCCATCTCTTCCACCAAAGAATGACTTTAGGATATCTTCCGCATCAAAACCTGCAGCTCCTCCACCAAATGGACCTTGACCTGAAGTTACAGTTGGAAAATTACTTCAAAGAAAATAATTATTTTATTGGAAGCTTGCTCACCAGAGTATAATCTGGGCTAAACAATACCTAAAAGATCTGAATTCACAATATTACACTCAATGATAGTTCATTTATATATGTAGTGCCATACATTTTTTTCCTCACATGTACAGAAAACTGAATTAATTTTGAAGCCTTTTTGGCACAGAAAGTTTAAAATATAAAATGATAACAGGATGAATACTGATTTTTTTACTCACAAACATTTGACATAGATATGTACTGTTTATAATCAGAGTACCCAGTTGTTTTAGCAAGAGCCACTTACACCAGCAATTATTTACAATTTACATTATTTACATGTACATACACTAGCCTATACTGTAAATATTTTCAAGACTGCAAATTCATCATTAGATATTACATTTGTTTATAAAGTAAACATTTTTAGCTTTTGAAATATTCTTAAACTTTCTGCTTTAACAGAAATTTCTTTATCTACATAACTAAATTAATTTATTTTTTAAATGTAAAATAATTTATAAATACCTAATATTTACTAGTGACTGCCTGCACAGTACCTATAATCTATACACAGTTGAATTGTAATTTTCAGTTATTTTGTCTATTACTAAAGTCATTGTTTTACATGTAAATTGATAAAATGTTTTTTTAAGAAGTCATTAAAATCTTTAAATACCTGAAAAGTCTGTTTGTCCATAACTGTCATATGCCCTGCGTTTAGTATCATCACTCAAAATCTACAAAGAAAAATGCATTCAATTGACATCTAAATATACAATAAAGAATCTACACTAGTAAGTGTTAGACCAGGAGCCGACTGTACGAAAGCCGATTAGCACTAACCCAGGATTAAATCCGAGGGTTAACTTAACCCAGGGTTAGGGATTTTAACCCTAGATTAAGGCTAATCCTAGGTTACATTTAATCGGCTTTCGTACAACCGGCTCCAGAGCAACAAATCCAAACCTCATATGCTTCATTAATTTCTTGGAATTTTTCAGCTCCACTTTTGTCTTTGTTGGTGTCAGGGTGATACCTCTTAGCAAGCTATTGAACARCAGACTCAATGGGTTAACTACATACATGTACAGTATACAACAAAACAGACAGCATCTCCCATCATGCAATTTGGCATAAGTGCAGTGTTTGTTTAATCCATTGCATTGACATCAGATATTTAAATTAGTAATTTTCTTGGTGCAATTGCCAATAAACGGCCATGCATTAAACTCATGTGATTAAGCACATTGTAAAAAAAATATTTATCAAACAAMATTGCGTGAATAATTAAATAAAATAAATAAATTGGTGATAGCTAAATGCCCTTCCTTGCAGCCTGAGTGCTGAATTACGAAGGACGCAGCTCACGTGATCGAGTCGTTTATGCGGTATACGAGAGCACTATCATTATGAGGACAATCACATAGTTACAACACACACGCAAAGCAGCCAACCAACTGACCCATATCTGATCACGGAGCACAGCTAGGATCGAAATCTGTATTTTGTGAATTTTACAACGTTTTTCTCTGACAATGTATGTAATACACAACTTAATTACATGTATCACAAGAAAAAGCCATCAAATCAAAATGGCTGAGATAAAATTCAAGTTGAATTCAATAAATACCGTATTTACCCATGTATAAGCCGCTCTCGTGGATAAGCCGCACCCCGAATTTTAGGAACATTTTTGAGGAAAAAAAAGACAGCTTTCTTTGATTTTAAAGTGCTTTTCCGCTGCTCGATTTCCGTGATCCAATGCATTTCGTATGCAATTACAATCTGTTTATTTAACGTGCGGTGTATGATGATCTTGGAGACATAATTGTTAAGATTGATAATTKATACTATATTAAAGAGTTGTTTTTCATTCAAAAGGTAAAAGCAAACTAGTAATTAACTTGAGTGATATAAATCTCATCGTGCCGCCAAACTTCTAAACATAAGGATCATGCCGAAACCGTTTCGTATTTCAAAAAAATATTAAAGCAGATTGTATTTGTTTAATATAAGAACAATTTCTTAGGCTCATTTCTTGGGTATTCAAAATATTTACCCTGGATTCTTCACTTTAAGTGTGACAAAGTCGCTTAAATAAACAATGTAAATTAGCATCGCGTTACCAAAACAACTCCAAGATAAAACGATTGAAAATGCTCTCTGTTCATTTTAGCTCAATAACCACGCACTTTTCAGTTTGATTTATTGACTTATGTTTCTCAGAGCTAGATTTTCTGAGAATTTATAGTAATACTGAGAAGTTTGGATTAAAATTCCTGTTCCCGCTGTGTAGAACAAACTTATCACATTATTGATCAATCTCGTGCCCAGCGCCCTTGTCCCTCTTACTGCGCATGTCTTCTCGTAGATAAGCCGCACCCCCGGTTTGGGAACGATTTTTTTGGAAAAAAAGTGTGGCTTATACATGGGTAAATACGGTGATAATTTACACATGAGTGGTTAACGAGCATCGCAATTAGTTAAGATTATTCAGGGCGATGCCCGCTAATTAATGTACAAGCACAAACCTCAAAGTACGCTTTCTTGATTTCTTTTGCATCTGAATTTGGTGACACCCCAAGAATTTTATAGTAGTCTTTCCTTTTGAGGTCATCTAAGATATTTGAATGTAAAAAAAAAATCAAATATACATGTACATGTATTGAATATATATGGTTTTGGAAAAAGTTCTGCACTATTTTCAATTTTTCCCTGCTCTCTACCAGAATTTCTGCCATATCAAAAGAAAAATGACCATATGATTTATTCACTAGACAATAAATTGAAATCCTCCCCCCATCATCGAATGTGAAATGTTTGCTGTTCTCTTGACCACTATCCCAGCCCCTATCCCTATACTAAACATAATTCACAAGGTTTTTGATACTTTTAAAAAACCAGGACCAGTTCAAGTAAAATATGATGTTCAAAAGTACATAAACCAAGAAGATTTTAGTTACAGTGCGAATCGAAGAACAGTGGCTGCCTAGAAATATTTCGGGAATGTGTACTTGAAACGTTTTTAGCTGACAAACAAGAAAACAAGATGAAAAAACATAAATGGACAAACTTTGTGTTCATTCTAAACAACAAAACTGTACTATTTGCGAGTTTTACGGGCCGTTTTTTGGTGATAAACTAGTTTTATTTATTTGTAACATTGAAGTTTTGATTAAATTTGCATGTGAAAATGCGTTGATGATGGTTGATCTTGCTTCTGATTGGTCAATGAACAATTAACATTCCTGAAATATTTCTAGGCGGTCATAGTTTTTCGATTCACACTGTAATATCTAACTAATCAAGCAGAATGAGAGAAAATAACATTGTGGAGTAAAAACAAATACATGTAGCTATGGAAATTAAAGTCCCTCTTAGAGCGCATGAGGTTACTCCAAACCTCGAGACATATCCCATGAGGCATTCGGCCTTTCTGCTGTAATATCAATCGTTAAATGACCAAACTGATTTCGGTAAGTCAGGTGATACAGATTTCTTGCTTGCTGTACATCGTGACGACATAGTGGATTACTCTGTAACAGAGTAACCACAAAAAGGGAAGTTCCTTCAAGGATTAAGGTTGGTTTTGCAATAAAAGCAAAATATTGCCTAGTCCTTGTCTTGTGTTATAAATGAATTTTATATTAACTAAAAATGAGTTTACTTGGTTTATGTTTCATCCTACATGTATATTAAGTTCTAAGGCTATTTTTGACACTTTTTACATGTAGGTTTGCTGAAACATTTCAATCCAAAAGGTAAAGCATCAATTTCGAGTCAGATTCAAGGAGTATTCCAGGAGTTTTAGCATTAGTATTTTCAAGGACTTCTTATATACCCTTGAATGAAACAAATTTTCACTCAAAAGCCTTTTGAAGGATTTCAAGGAATAACGGAGCCCTGCAGCAGGACTTTGGACAAAACTAATTCTCAGTTGGAGGACAGTGAAAATGGTACCTAAATCATGACTTTAGCCCATTAATTTTTACTGTAAGCTATGGAAGATTTTGTTGAACTAACTTCAAAGACTTTACTATCATACAAACATTTAAATATAGTTTCAGTTCTTAAAACAACAATACAGAAAGAGTTTTCTAAATGGACATTTGAAAACTGTACCAGATTGTTTTGTTTGACATTTCGGATAAATACCATGAGTGGTGTATCATCCCAAATTCCACGCACAAAACATGCTATTATTTGTTTATGGTTTAATTAAATTGTGCAATGTGAAATACCACGGGAGAGTTGAAAACACTGACCCCCGGTCCGCGGACCCCTCCATGGACCACCTTCACGGACCACCAATGAAAACATTGCAAATGCCAAATAATWGATTTGRCAARRRTTATYTTGCATTTGCTCATCCAATAAAGGGTGTTAAGTTAATGATTTGTCTTGTCACAGTTGTCACGTTGTCGGTCGGCCGCATTGTCACGTCAGTAGTCTTCTATTTGTTTGTTTTTTTGGAACCACAATCACTCGTGCTTCGATCTTAAGCTTTCCACATTATAGATTGAAATTTAAACAGCTTGATTTATAGTGTGCAGATTTGCATTCAAAAAAAATCAAATGAAAATATAACGTGTAGAGGACTGACGTGACAAAGGTAAAATCATTAACTTAATGCACAAGTCAATTGAAAACCCCGTCCCCAACTCCCAGAACTAGCGGAGTATTAAATAGTGACATGCTTTTATCAGCAGGATTGGCCGGGGGTCTGGATTTTGATGAATTGTTTTTGAAGCGGGGAGGGATTTTAAATCTCATTTGGACATTTATGAGCCTGGAAACCGTAGAGGTCGACCAATCTTGAGAAATACTCTGAAAGCATAGGTATTCAACCTTGTTTTGTATTTGTTTATTTTTCCTTGTATGAAAATTTTTTAAAAGAAACTTATTACACAGTCCATAGCCTCAATGTAGTAAAAAAATTGACTGAAAGGTGTTTGTTTTGTTATTTACTACTAGACCAAAATAGCGGGACAAGTCTAGCGGGGATTTTACCAATGAATGTGCCTGGGGTAAACGTCTTATTTCAACGCCACTCAATCATTAAATTCGCGGTTTTTCCCGGGGGTTGGGAAGCGAGCGTTTCAATTGACTAGCATGCATAACACCCTTTATTGGATGAGCAAATGCAAAATAATTCTTGTCAAATCTATTATTTGGCATTTGCAATGTTTTCATTGGTGGTCCGTGAAGGTGGTCCATGGAGGGGTCCGCGGACCGGGGGTCAGTGTTTTCAACTCTCCC